GAATCTTAGCAATTGCATTCCACTGGTTATCATCACTCCATTTCTTTCAGCAATGGGGTCTTCATTGCCATCTTACTGGCGAGTTCTTCAGTTCCCAAATCCTATGCTAATGGTCTGCTTTCTAGGGATAACTCTAACACTATCTGTCTTTCCCAGGGTTCCCCTGAAAGGATAACATGAAACATAGACTTGAATGAAAGTAATTTATTTGGAAATGAGTTGTCAAGTAGTAGAAGTGATGAATAAGGACAGTGACAGAGAGAGAGAGAGAGAGAGAGAGAAAGAGAGAGAGAGAGAGAAAGCTAATACGAGAATGTATCATCAAACCATTGCTGTGAACAACTGGTTCCAAATCACAGCAGACGTTCTGAAAAGTCTTACGAAATGTGTATCAATACTGTCTACCCTAGGGTGAAAAGTAGAAGGCATTTATTCATCAGTGCCTCCCCGCATTGGTCAAGGGTGAGCCCACAGAGATTAAGTCCCTTACACTTCCAATGTGCAAGCTTTGAGTGCTGAATGGGTTCCCTCAAGCATCAGAGAAAACCCAGGGAGCAGAAAGCAAGAGGTTCACATGCAGGCTTAAGGCAGGCACACTTTTGACTTACATCTGTGAAGCTAGTCAAAGCCTGAGCGAAACTGGTCCCAGAAGCAGTGGCAAGAGTGAAAGATGAGGCCATGAACACGTGAATGTGACATATAAGGCAGTCCAATGGAGCACACAGAAAAATAGAGTATCGACCATCAAAATTGGAACTAATAAAGGACCATGGGTTAGAAAATGACTCTATATGGCCTATTTATGCTTAAGACTACAGATTGTGACTAGAAAAATACTTCTAGCTCAAAGACATTATGATCATTTTTCTTTATTAGAGTTTCTTAATACAACAAAATAGTGATATTTGTAATCCAAAACAGGTAGCTCAGGAAATAATAAACACAACTTCAAACTTCTACCTTATTGACATATTTTAATAAAGTAATTCTGTGTTGTAAGAGTTCCATTCAATAAATCAGTAATGTTCCACATAGCCCTGTCAGTAAAACTATTTGGAGGCAAACACACTCACTTTATGAATATTTATTCATAAATTAATACATTTATTACAATTAGTCCACAATATTAGTCAAACTTTAATTTATTAAGTTTAAGATAAAAATACATTGAAAATAAATTCTAATATTTTCTTCTTGTATCCAATCATCTCACCATCATCTAAGATATGTGAATACAAAAAATTTAATTTTAGACTAACATTATCACATAGACACAGCCTAATAATTTGTTAATAATCAGATGAGCTTCATCCATATTTTAGATATGCTAAAAATCACAATTTTGTATATATACTAAAACACATATTTATACTTAATTATTTCTCTAACTTACTGGTGAATTCATATATGTATTACATTGATTATATATTAATAGACATGTAGAAATTATGTGATTATCTGGGTTACAGAATTATAGTCTAAAATAAGCAGTTCTAGACAGCACGCTGGAGCTTGGGGGAGGTCCCTTCAAGGCCAATAAAAAAGCATAGAAAGAGAGCTCAAAACCATCCTTCACCTGCCTCCCAACCATGGCAACTCTGCTTTTATTTGTTTTCTATATTGTGCTTCTCACAAGATTTTCCTAGAAGAAGGGATTGTGAAACATATATATATATATAACCTATAATCTTATTCTATCTAGTAACAGATTGACAGAAAGTTGGGGAAAATGGAATAGAGGTCATTTTGATTTCACCAATTTTATATGCACTCATTTGTATATGCGTGGCATGTGTGTGCATTCGTATGCAATCTTATCAATATGTAGCTTGCTATAACTGCTACTGTATCAGGATACAGAACGATCAAGATTTCTTGTGCTACCTCTTCACACCTACCATCACCCAGTGATAGTTCATTGTGGTTCTAATTTGCATTTTCCTAATGATGTGGAATATCTTTGTGATGTTGAGCATCTTTTCATGTGCTTATTCACCATTTTCATATACCTTTCTCATGTCCCCTTTGGTGAAATGTCCACTCGTGTCTTTTGTCCATTTTCTAATTGTGTATTTTGCTGATTTTACTATTTTACTAGTGTTTTTCGTATGTTCTAGATAGCAGCCTATATAGCAGCCTATATATATATAGATATATATATCTATATAGCCTAGATAGCAGTCAGATATGCAGTTTGCAAATAGTTTATCCTAATCTTTAGTTTGTCTTTTCCTCCTCTTACAGGGTCTTTCATAGGCTGAGTTTTTCCTTGATTCATCAATTTTTGTGTTTTTGCATTTTGATAATAATTATAAAACCATGTTGTTAATTGTATTATTTAGAAGCATAGCCAAATTACTGACATCCTCAGTGGCCATTTACTGAATTATCAAAGAATTATTTTCAAAACGATTTCATTACCTAAATCACCATCCATGAGCTCATGATATAATTATAAATGGGCAGCTCTGCATACTCTAGGGAAAGAGCATCTGCTTCTATTTTAGAAACACTTAAACACTTGTAAATATGACTGTAAAATTTCTCAATATTGTACTATGAACAATTATTATTCTTTTACTTGGGGTAAACTTATAACAACAGCTTAAACTTTGACTACTACATTTCATATATAAAACAATTAAGAAAAATTTTAAGTAGTCAAAAGCAGTCAGATGTGGACAAATGAGCAGAAGTCAACAATGACTTTGACAAACAAAGTCACAATGGCAATAACAAAAAAAATCATTAATTTTCTTATGACTAGAATGACATGATTCCTTCGGTGTCTTCCTCATTATCCACATACGTGAAGAGAATGCCCCCTTCTGAAAATTAGAGGTAAAGAAGCAAGCAACTGGAACTATTGTGTAACTGTATCTGATTCAGTTCTTCTCCTTAATCCACTCCCACAATATGCTAAGTTTACATCCCATTACCATTGCAGATCTTGGCTACAACTATACTGTCAATGTTGACTGAGTTCTCACACTGTACTGTTTGCTATGAGAAAAGGCAATATAAGGCTTGAGGTACAGTCTCTCCCTCTAGAACCTCACTAGAGAGCTGGATAAACACCAAATATAAATCAAATTTCATATCATTCTAGGAAACACAAAAAGAAACACATAACGATTGAGAAACCTGTAACAATTATGGAGAATATAAAAGTAGGAAACTGATGCTACCCAGAATGATTTAACTACTAAAGCAACTATTTCATTGACATTTTAGATACATATTTATGATGAGAGCTAGTATTAAATGGTGTTTTAAATTATGGGTCATGAGGTCAATTCATTTTATAAAAATGAATACAATAGATATATGGCACAGTGTAAACTCTCAATAAACATTAATCATTCTTTTAATGACTATTATTTTGAAAAATGTGTAACAATGCAATTGAGTATCAAAAATTTAGTGACATTCCTACCACAATTCAGTATAACAAACTCTTGGATCCTATAAGCATAAGTGTTGTAGGTTTATGCATAGAGACAAAATGATTATTCACTCTTTAGACACAGTAACATACATCCTCCACTCCTTATACCAAAGCTTCAATTCTAACCTCAATAGGATTGAACTCTGTACCAGAGCTGCAAATAATTCTGCATGCCTTGGTGAATGGGGGTGAGAGGAGGCTGTAGAAGAGAGTAGTGCCAACCATATCATACAAGTCCATACAACCATATCATACAACCATACCTACAAGTCCTTGTAGATATTTGGATTTTAGTCCAAGTACGGTGAGAAATCATTATAGGATTTTAAGCAATGGAGTAACCTGATTTACATTTTCAAATTATCACATTTTCTATTGGGTAGACAATGGGTTAGAAAAGGATAGGAGTTGAAATAGAGAAACTTGTTAGAAGGCTAGTGAGGCAGTTCAGACAAGAGGAAAAGATGCCTCTGTCATTAGTAATTAAGATGTAAAATGAACAGAATAGAGACACATTTTGCAGGTAGCACTGACATGTCTTGATGAATAAAATATGGTAGAGAGGGAACTCCTAGATTTCTGTCTTGAATGAGTAGGTGTATGGAAGTACCATAAAGTGTGACAGAATAAGAGTCCAGAAATAACCCCTAAGAAATTCTAACATTAGCCAGGTGCAGTAGCTCACGCCTGTAATCCCAACACTTTCGGAGGCCAGGGTGGGCAGATCAGGAATTCAAGGCCAGCCTGACTAACATGGTGAAACCCCGTCTCTACTAAAAACACAAAATTAGCCAGGTGTGGTGGTGGGCACCTGTAATCCCAGTTACTCGGGAGGCTGAGGCAGGAGAATCACTTGAACTCAGGAGGTGGAGGTTGCAGTGAGCCAAGATCACACCATTGCACTCCAGTCTGGGTGACAGAGCAAGACTCTGTCTCAAGAAAAGTAAGAATAAGAAAAAAAGAAAAAGAAGAAAAGCAAAGAAATTCTAACATTTAGAGGTCAGCTACGATAGATGGAGACAGGGAAAATCCTTGACAGGAGGCTATAAATGTGAAAGAAAAACCAAGAAAGAGAGAAGGGACAAGTGTATCAAATAGTAACGGGAGATCAAATAAAATGCTGTCATATATGTATACTTACACATACAGAGACAGGATTCAAAGGTCTGACGAAAGGGAGCTAAAGTGGAAATAATTCCTCAGAAAAGATTGGCAAGTAAGGTAAGGAGAGAGATCGTTTCAACCACTGGGAAATAATAGAACGAAGAGAGTGTGTCAAAAGTGATGTTTTAGGTGGGGATCTCAAGGCATGTTCAAATGCTGTTAGGAAAAATCCCACAGCCAGCCAGAGTCGAAGGATTACGCGGAAATGACCAGTGCAACAAGATCAGTGAGAAGAAGAATGTGTAAAGGCTCTAGATCATATGTGGGAAGATAAGTCTTTGATAGAAGGTGGCAGGAAGTCAACTTCTCAATAAATGCTAGCTTAAGATATTTTTATTATTCATATTTGCATCATAGTCCACAGCTCCTGGTTTGTACATATTTGGATTGCAAAAAAGACTTGAAGAATAAACAGTTCTAGCTAAAGATGAGGTCCCGAACTAAGTCTACCATCAGCAAAATCTGCAGCTGTTGTAGATTTTACTTACACTATGCTAAATGCTGTCCTCTGAAACTCCAGCTAATGTTGTATGCTTTGAAAAAAGAAAATAAATAGAAAACAAAATCCAAGTCAGTAATTGCGAAATGCCAGTAAAGAATGGAGTTTTGAAAAGTAGGGGTAGCGGGAAGCCACAGAGAAGCTCTGAGGCCAGGAGCAATAACTCAGTGAGAATCTTGCTGTTTGTGTATTTTCGATTTCTTGTCCACTAGGTGGTGGAACAGAGTCCCCATCTAAATGACAGTTCTTTTCCTCACAGGTTTGTGTTTCTCTCACAACGCCTACACAGGTCTTTGCACGCCAAATAAATCCAAGAAATTCAATCTCTTCAAAATTGCCCCTTGGAAAAACAGAGCGCTCGAATGACAAGTATGGGGAAGGCTGGGAGGCGAAGATGCGGAGTGCGGAAACACAAGCACCAGGGAGCCAAGCTACATTTCCCAGAAAGCCACGGGCTGGCCTACAACCACCGCGGCCCCCAATCCCGCTGGAAGCCTCCGTCTCGCTTCTACAGTAACCGGTTTGCCGCCGTCCTCTTTTCTAAGGAACGTAGAGAAAGCCAGTGAAGGAAAGGCATTTTACTGCAGCAGCGAAGGTTTAGCCACTAGAGTGTCTTTCTGAGCCTTGGTAATTCCGACCTTCGCTTGTAAAGGCATTGGGAAACCCACGGCCCACGTGACCAGCCCGGGTCATGTGACTCCAGAACCCGGCAGCTGAAGTTTGTTACCCTGACAACTGGCTGACCCGCACAGACCTTCCGGGAAAGCGCGGAATTGGGAGGCAGAGGTAGGTGGTAAGGTGTGAACGCTGGTTTCCCACCCAAATCGTCCTGGCCGAGGCCGTACTTCATACTCGACCGAAGGGCTTTAGTTTTCCGGGTCATTTCCCTTCTCCGCCTGGAGCCCACGGCGAATGCGTCTTTGTCTTCCCTCTAATTCCCGAACCCGCGCTTCCGGGGACGGGGTCGCAGCCAGGCTTGAGAAGCTTTTGGTGGAGTCTGCCTCTAACCAAGCTATTCAGGCCAAGACCTTAACCGCACTTACCCTGAACTGATCGAAAGTGCTAATGAGGGGAAGAGGTGTTATTCTGCACAATGGGGAGAGTATTGTCTGGGTCTGCAAGCCCTCTTCCCCTCCCCCATCTCTACAAAGGAAAGCTGGAATTTGAGCTGCTCTAGGGAGTTCAGGAGCTGGGGGTCGACCCACGGTTGGGTTCATTAGGTGTCTAGGGGAACGCTTTCCGCTGCAAATCACTGGATTCTGCTTGTGTTCAGCGCATAGTTTTTGTCGGTCTTCCCTAGCTTCAAAAGAAACATAGTACTGATTTGTGTACTCCATTAACTCTAAGTATTCTGTAAGTATTTTGACTAAATTACTAATTCTTACTAAATTCTATTTGTGTATATTTTGAAACATCCCCGTATCTGGATACAGTCTGCTTTACGAAACTGTGCAGTCTGCTTTACGAAATTATTACTATGGATTGGTAAAATAACCAGCCGAGTGATAAGGCAGCACAAACAGTTGTGTGCTTTGCAAGAAACAGTCCTTTGGCTTTGCTGACTTACAGGTTTTAAGATTCCCTGTGAGGACCTGGTTTGTGTTTGAGAGGTACTAATAAACACATGTACACAAACATAGGTTTGGGAAATATAGTAGAGACCACTCTTTAACAATTGGATGTTAACAGATGAAAACATAATTCTGAACGTTGAGTACAAGACATCCTGTCAAAGCTGATTTTCCAAATCAGTTTGCTTAGTGAATTAGGAATCTCTTGACCAGCTTACTGGGTTAAAAAAAAAAAAAAAAAAATGTGCACATATACTGAATCATAACAAATGTCTGAAGTTTAAGCCTTACCGTGTTCATGATGTGATGGATTTCCTCAAAAGATGTTTATGTCTCTTGTCATTTAGTGTTTCCAATGTTTGAGATACTTCAGAATATTTACTTTGGGAGGTCAAAATTGTTGACTATGGCTAACTATTCCCAAGAAGAGCTAGATGAAGAGTTTGAACAGTTTATGAAAGAGGTAAGTTTATATTTTAAAAAACTGTATTGTCAAATTTGTCTCAAAAGACTTATCCTTCAATTCTGTCACCTCGAAGATACAGTTAGTCCATCACCAAACTGTCAACTCCCATCATCCCTCTAGCTCTGTCCCTTTTCTGCCACTGCTAGTTCAGTGCTATCATCTCAACGGGGCTATTGCAGCAGTTCCCAACTCATGGCCCAGCATTCCTTTCACCACACTGCAGCCAGACTCTGTTCCTCCCCAGTAAAAGACTCTGTTGGTCTCCCATCACATGTAGAAAGAAAAACCAAACTCCTTACCATGGTTTTAAAGCCTTTCATGATTTCGCTCTTACCTGTCTCACTGCCTTCATATTCCTCTTTCATCCACTTTATTTTTCCACTGTGGCCTTTTTTCTCTCCCAGACATTTCAAGCTCATTTCACCTTAGGAGCTTTGCACTCACTGTTCCCTCTGCCAATAATGCTCCTCCCTTACTCTTTACCTGGCTGGTGAAAATCTTAACTTAAATATCACCACTTTAGAGAGGCTTCCTCTGTTTATCCAGTAAAAGGTAACCACAAAGTCACTTCTTAGTCTAGTATGTATTTAATTCTTTTTATAGCACTTAGCACATTAATTATTTTTCTTGTATGGGTCTGTTTTCTGCTTCCCATTATAAGAATGTATGGTCTGTAATGTGATGACTGTATGTTCATTGCTGTTATATATCAACATGTTCATTACTATATGTACAGTACTTAATAAATACTTAATAAATATTTGAATGAGTACATTAAATGGTCATACCACGTTCTCTGTACAGTCATGCACCTCATAAAGAAGTTTTGGTCAGCAACAGACCACATATACAACAGTGGTTCCATAAGATTATAATGGGGCTGCCCTATAAAGGTGTACCTTTATCTTTTGTACCATATATTTACTGTAGCTTTTCTTTGTTTAGATACACAGATGCTTGCCATTGTGTTACAATTGTCTGCAGGATTTGGTACAGTACATGCCGAACAGCTTTGTAGCCTAGGAACAGTAAGCTATATACCACATAGCCTAGGTGTGGAGTAGGCTATACCATGGAGCCGTCTAGGTTTGTGTAAATAGACTCTATGATGCTCCTATGATGAAATCCCATTTCTCTGAACATATCCCCATAATTAAGCGATGCATAACTCTATTTATGTAAATGGAGGGGCCTTGTAGCGCATTCAAGAGAGTCACATTTTAAGCTATTATACAACATTCTTGTTTAAAAAAAAGGGGGGGAGTTTAATGTGGTACAAAAAAACTTCACTTTCATTGTCTGTCTCATGGAAAAATAATGCCTTCTTTGTAGGATTGTTTTAAGGATTAAAAAAAAGCATCTACCTCTTGCCAAGATGTAATTAGGCACTTGGAATAAGTTTCATTTACCATTTGAAAAGTTGATTTTAATTTCATATACAGACACATTTTGAAAATTAAATTTATAAGAATGATTTCTACTGTAAAAGATAGCAGAACAGGCCATTTAGAAGATATTTTTATTCTTCACTCATTTACCACCCTTCTAGCACACACATTCTCCAATACTCTCCTTCCCCCACCCTTCTGTCTCTGTCTGTCTCCCTCTTATATCCATCCTCAGTTGCATTGTGTCATTTTTTTTTTTACTATGGAAGTCATGATTTTAGAGTCATGCTAACTTTTCTCGCTTTGATAAATTATTGTTCAGTTTATTCAAAGACAGTTTATATATCTCTATTTTTAGGAGAGTAGTGGTAACCAGCTTTTTAAAAATAGCTTTATTGAGACATAATTCACATACCATTTAATTTACCCATTTTAAATATGCAGTTCTGTGGTTTCAGAGTTATGTAACCATCACCACAATCAATTGTAGGAATTTTTATCACCCCAGAAAGAAATCCCATAGCTGTTAGTAGTTACTCCATCTCCTCCTTCCCCCTTCCCTAGCCTTAGGCAACTACTAATCTGATTTCTGTCTCTAAATATTTGCCTGTTACAGACATGTCATAGAAATGGAATTATGTATTATGGGGCCCTTTGGGTCTGGCTTCTTGTACTTAGCATGATGTTTTCAAGGTTCATCCATGTCATAGTATGTATTAACACTTCATTTCTTTTTATAGCTAAGTAATGTTTCATGGTATAGATGTACCACATTTTGTTTTTCCACCTATCAGTTGAAGGACATCTGGGTTCTTTCCACTTTTTGGCAGTTACGAACAATGTTGCTATGAATGATCATGTACAAGTTTTTGTGTGGATGTGTTTTTGTTCCTCTTGTGTATATGCCAAAGAGTGAAATTGCTGTATCATATGATAGCTGTGTGTTTGCCTGACTATTTTCAAAAATGGCTGTGCTATTTTACATTTCCACTAGTAGTGTATTAGTTTATCAGAGTTCCAATTTCTTTTTTTTTTTTTGTAGTGGGGGACTGAGTCTTGCTCTCTTGCCCAGGCTGGAGTGCTGTGGTGCAATCTTGGCTGACTGCAACTTCTGCCTTTGGGCTCAAGCAATTTCCATGCCTCAGCCTCCTGAATTGCTGAGATTACAGGTGCCTGCCACCAGGCCCAGCTAACTTTTGTGCTTTTAGTAGAGTTGGGGTTTCACCATGTGGGCCAGTCTGGTCCCGAACACCTGGCCTCAAGTGATCTGCCCACCTCGGCCTCTCAAAGTGCTGGGATTACAGGTGTGAGCCACTGCACCCAGCCCAGAGTTCCAGTTTCTCCATATCGTTGCCAACAACTGTTATATCTGAGAATCAGCTTTTTTTATTGTGTTTTATTTGTTTATTTAATTTTAATTTTTATTTATTTATTATTTATTTTTTGAGACAGAGCCTTGCTCTGTCACCCAGGCTGGAGTGCAGTGGCACAGTCTTGGCTCACTGCAACCTCTGCCTCCCAGGTTCAAGTGATTATCCTGCCTCAACCTCCTGAGTAGCTGGGATTATAGGCACGTGCCACCACACCCAGCTAATTTTTCTATTTTTAGTAGAGATGTGGTTTCACCGTGTTGGTCAGGCTGGTCTTAAACTCCTGACCTTGTGATCTGCCCACCTCAGCCTCCCAAAGTGCTGGGATTATAGGTGTGAGCCACCGCGCCCGGCCTGTTTTGTTTTATTTTTAATTAATCATATTGATAAAAAATAATGAAAGTGCTGGGAAGCACTCTGGAAGGTTGTTCAAAGAACACTTACCATGTATTAGAAATCTTCATTTTTTTTTCTCTTTGTCATGGCCCTACAAGGTCAGTGGTACCATGCCTGTGTTACAGATAAATAAACTGAAAAAATGGGAGGAGAGAGAAATGGAACACCTCAAGGTGATACTGAAGTTTAGAGAGAAAGTGAAAAGTGATGCAGCTAGTTTCAGAAATTCAGATGGGATAAGAAATATTTTTTCTTCCCTCCTCCTGTCTTCCTACCTGGTTGTTAGTGAAGACAGTAAGTTCTTCTTGAACGTTTTAAAATTGACATTCTTCAAGTCACTAAGGTAGAGTTTTTTGTTTGGCAAGTGGAAGTGTGTGTAGGGTGGGCGGCGCACGCACATGGGTGTGCCTGCTGTCATTTTAGAAGTTTAAAAGGTCTCTCAGATAACAATTATCTAGTTGGGGAACTACATAGTATAGTGGAAAGTGGACAGGAGTTAGTCAGACATGGGTTTAAATGTCACTTCGTAACACTTACTAACAGTAGCAATTTGGGCAAGTTGCTTAACCTCTTAGAGCTTCAGTTTCACCATGAGTAAATTTCTGCAGGGTTGTTTAAAGATTGAGTTAACCTGAGTGTAGATCCTGACATAGAGCAGGCATGTAGTAAATGTTGATTTCTTTTCCAGAAAAAGTAATGTAGAATGAGATAGAAAAAGGATCAAGAGCAGAGTCCTGGAGAAGTCTCCTGTTAAATAAATGGGCAAAAAGGCAAAAGCTATTAAAATAGATGGGTGGGAGTAGCCACAGATCTGAAGAATAACCCAGAGGAAGTGATGCTACTAAAGTCAAGGTAGAGAGTTTCAAGAAGTAAGAGTAAGAGTTGATCACCAGTAGCAAATTCCATAATGTGATCAGGGAGGGTAACTGACAGTGCTACTTTATTCGTGGCATTTCGGAGTCCTTTGGTGCCTGGAGGAGAGCTGTTTTGGATGGGAACCAGATTATAAGTGGTTAAGTGAACTCAAGGAGTTAATGTGTCAAGGAAATGTGATAGGTAGAGTAAAAGGGATATAGGGATAAGGAATTTTTTTGTTTTGTTTCACTTTTTTTTTTCAAAGTTGAGTAAATATTCATTTTTCATTCCACAATTGCGCCTGGTACTGTGCTAGGCAATGGAGATGCAGTGCTGAGCAGGTGTATAATCAGAGGGAAGGGAGGGGAGTAGAGAGAGAAGGGAGTGAACGTACAGAAATCAAATGGGATAACCAAGGAAGGAAGAACCTAGAGAAGTTCTGCTTAGAGTGGAGGAAAGGATTGTGTTGTCTGAGAGACGAAAGAAGTGCCTTCACAAGTCAGTTTAGTGGTGGAGTGAGGTGGGTGGTGTTTGAAGGTTTTTCTCTCTCAGAGACAAGGGTGACCAAGTTACTGGCTAGGTGGTAGGGGGTAGTATTGAGGTTAGAGCATGAGATTTAGGAGTGTAGTAAAATTTGGATTGGAAGAGTAGAAAAAAGCAAATAAGCATTTATTAATCGCTGAAAAAATATGCTGATTTTTCTGGTCAATTTCATTCTCCTCTTTACACCCTGAAACTCAGTTCTTCCTTTTCTTGAAGTTCTGTTTCTAGAGTGGTGCTATGCAATTTTGTTCAGCCAGGTTTATTCTTAAACCCTAGGGAATGTCTAGAAGACAGGATTGTGTCCTCCTATTTTTTCTTTCCTGAAAAAAATTCTTGATCAAGTTTTATGTCTTTGTTGTTATTCTCCCGGTTTACTTGTTTAATTATGAAATTGATGCTCAAAGATGTATGTCTGATTTTTAAGTTATTTTGGCCAAATATGTTTGTGGCTATGAACTTATACATTATTGGTGAAAATGTTGTTTATCTATGTGATAGCTGAACAGTGAGCGAACTAATAGAAACATGCTTAATGATGAATCTGAAATTCTTGAATTTGCACTGTATTTTCAAATTCACTATCTTATATCCAATTCAGCTTTCAGATGATTCTTTTGAAAATTCAGACAAAACAGCTAGACAATCTAAAAAAGAAATGAAGAAGAAAGATACAGTGCCTTGGTGGATAACTGAAGATGATTTTAAAGATGATGGTAAATGTTGCTGATTTTTAGTTTCAAATTATTTGACCACAAGGGGTCAGTCAAGACCTGTATTTTGTTACTTCACTATAAATAAAGAAAATAATACTAATAGTGTGCATTTTTGAAGTTTGAATTGATTTTCATATAACTAGTATTTTATTATGTATTTATTATGTAATTGAGAATCTGTGTTATAACATTATCAGCTTATTTTACATGGAGATAATTTATATTTACTCAAATTAAGGTGACAATTCAGGTATATTTATTATCATGTTTAATGATAAATTGATTTAATGTGATTAATAAGATATTCTGGCTGTATATTAATGTCATTGCATTGGGAAGAGTTTAACAAACCTATAGACTTTGGTATCACAGTTTGTTAATGACAGTAGTAAAAAAAATTACTGCTCTCTATATATGTCTTATATGTCTCATATACATATATGTATGTCTCATATACATATGTATATGATATACCCAGGCTGAAGGGCAGTAACACAATCATAGCTCATTGTAACTTCAAATTCCTGGACTCAAGCAATCTTCCCACCTCAGCTTTCTGAGTAGCTAGAACTACAGGTACATGCCAACATGCCTGTCTAATTTTTTTGTATTTATTGTAGAGATAGGGTCTCTCACTCTGTTGCCCAGGCTGATCTCAAACTTGCCTCAAGCAGTCCTCCCACCTTGGCCTCCCCAAATGCTGGGATTACAAGCATGAGCCACCACACCTGGCCTGATAGGTTTACTATATATGATACTGCCGTATCTGTCAACAACCCCGACTGCTTCTATTTCAGTACCTACATTCATACCATTTGTGGATCAGTGTTAAGCACAATTTTGTAAAGTGATAGAATTTCTGGATCTCTAGGGAAAAAATTTACATATGGACTTTTTTTTTTCCCCCATAAAAATTGAGCCTGAATTCATGTCATAATTAAGGCTCTGCATGATCTGTCTGGAACCCTGCCTTCTCGTGTGTTCTAGCCATACTAAATCATTCCTCATCTCCTGGAAAACACCATAGGCCTCCCTGCCTCTGTGCATTATCTCATGCTTCCTTGCCATTAGAATGCCTTTCCTCTCATCCTTCTTGTCCAGTAAAGCCTAGCATCACCACTTTTTGCAGTCTTTCACCCTATCTTCTAGTTCTCTTGTCACAATTAGTTTCTCCTTCATTTTGATGTCAGAACACCATAGTAACACTTACACACTGGGTTGATAGTTGTAACCTATAGGACAAGTCCTGAGGTTGGGAGCTTTGTGAGGGTAGGAAGCACCTCTTTGTCCTTATATCCTCTGACCCTCAACATTAAGTGATAAATTTGTTTAATAAATGCATATTAAAGTAGATTTGACAGTCACTTCTCTGTTCTTTTTAATACTGTAGTTTAAAGAAATTCCTTATTGAAAAATTCAGTGTATTTTTTATAAATTCTTATGCAACATGCTGAACTTTGTAGTGAAGAATTATGTTTTAGAATCTCTCCCTGCTTTTAATGCTTGAAAAGGATGTTATAAGATGAAGTACTGTTGGAATTGTTGACAGAGATTTAGGACATAAAGCCTTTTGTCTAGAAGGTAATGAATTGGAGCAGATATATACAGCCTAATCCTACAGGAAAAGAATAGCTCCTAGACCAAAAATATTCACATGTAACCTGATTGATGGTATTAAAATTTTTTTAAATGTATCAAAAATAGATTTGATTAGTGAAAGAAGGAAAGAAGGATAGTCAAGAAGCAAACTTTGGCAATGTCAACTTAAACAGAGGGAGGTTTCCCTGCCCATGGGAATAACCTGGTCCCTGATTCAAGCAAATGTTTACTGAGTTCATATTGTGTTCTAAATACTAGGCATTAGTATAAAAAGCCAAGACATGATTCCTGTATCAAGAGTGTAGAACCTTCTGAGGGAGAATTCAACACCCCTCTTGAGAAGAAGAATGCATTACTAATCTTAAGACAGGTACCATTAAACATCAACAGTGAGCAACTTTTACATTATAATTTTGCCTGTTTCCTGGTTGCCGTAGGAATAAAATGATCAACTTAGAAGGTGAAACTATCTCATCCTCTTGCTGATTGTATTCTTTATTGTAAATAACTAAACTGGATCTTTGTTTCTGTTACATTAATCTCTTGTGAGCTTGATTAGTGTGAGCTATAACACCGAGTCCTGCTTTAGAGCCAGGGTGACACCCTGAACATGTTGCCACCACAGCACACCAACTTAGCATATACTTTTGCATTTGAAGTGTCTGTGAATCTATCTCTTGATTTTTTACGACTTATGGAGGTTATTATTTGATCCAGTAAAATCATTATTTACAGAAAGGCATAAAATAAATTGATTCTTAGCCTTTTCCAAGAGGACACTAATTAGGAAATTGAAGTCAGAATTCGTGACTTCTTAATAAGGCTTCCTTCTAACCAAAAGTGATGTTTTTTTCTAATCTTAATATTTATAGCACACATTTTCAGTCATCTGGTTTTTGAAGAAAACAAAGACCAAAGAATACTAAAAAGCAAAAAACAAAAACAAAACATTACTCATTATAATTATTTACCTTTTCTGTATATCAGTTTTTTACAACAAATATATACTGTTCAAATAAGGAAATTTTGATACTATATAACTTTACCAGTTTTTTCTAGTGCTCTTGTAATACAGAGCAAGGCCGTGTGCCTGGCCTATGAGGATGAGCATGGTCCAACCATTGACTTCTTGCTCTGGGTTTATTTCCCCTTAGGCTTACCCTCAATTCTGAGTCCAGCCTCACTGGCCTTCTGGCATCTGCAAATGTGGCCTGCCCCTCCCATTGTCATGCTTCTGTACCTACTGTGTCCCCTGTCTGTACTGGTCTCCCTGGCCTAGTTCACCTAGTTATTTCCTGCTCTTTCTTCACATCTTAGCAGAAATGTTACTTCCTCATGGAAATATTCTTGGATTTTCCTGTCTTGGTATACCCCCCCAATTAATCTTACATAATTCCTTCAAAGCAGAGTTATAATTCACATTTAACTTTGCTCTATGAACAGTGCTGCTTCTCTGGTAACCTCCAATGGTTACTGTTTTCTTTACCACATCTTTGGTTCCATTAGACTTGGAAAAGGAGTAAGTTATTGTTCATTGCTGTTTCTAGACTGTTCTCTTTCCCATCTCCTTATGAACCTTGCCATCAGGCCACCTACCTACTATGTTTCTTTGTTGCAGTTATCTACTGAACTCCAGGTTATTCCTCCTCATTCCTCAAAGATTTAAGCTGCTGTTTCGCTGTGAGTCTCCAATTCTCTTGTCTAATTATTGGTGACTACATTAACAACATAGCTGTTGCCTCTAATAACCTGACTTCTGAGTTCCTTAAACTTCTTTACACCAAAAAATCTTGCCTACCACATCATAGCCACCTCCTCCCTCTAATAGCTTCTCATTTCACTTGTTATAAAAGCTGATGACCTTCATTCAAGCTACCACCCACATCAGTTCTACACCCTGACTTTTTTGACCTCCCAACTTAGACTACCTTTCCCTTGCTTATGCCAATATCACTACATTGGGTCTCCTTTCTCTTCACACATGCCTAGGCATTTTCCTGGCTTAGAGGCTTCACACTTCTTTCCTCCTCCTTAAACACTCTTCCCCCATGTATTCATATAGATTGGTCCCTCACCCCCACCAAGCCATAGCTCATGTGTTAACTTCTCAGTGAAGGCCTTCCTGACCATCCTTTTTAAAGTTGTAGTGCCCTCCATTCCTGCATTCTCTGTTCCTCTTTCTTGTTTTATTTTTCTTCTTGGCACTTAACTGTTTTCTAATGTACTATTTAATTGCAATGTACTTATTTTACTTGTTGCCTCCCTCAAATCACATGAATGAGCAGGGATTTTTGTCTTTTTTATTCACTGATAAAGCCCCAGCATTTAGAACAATGCCTGGTGTGTAGTAGGCACCCATGAATATTTGCTGTCGATTGTCTCCTCCTGTTAAATTTTAACCTTCATGATGGTAAAGGACTTCATTGTATAGCTGGCACTAATAATGTTCTAGGCACATAGTTTGTCAAAAAATTTGAATAAAGTAAATAATACTCAAACCTTTGCTACATAAACATAAGTTATACTTTTTTACCCAGGATTCATAGAACATTTTTGAAACTTCTTATTATAAAAAAATTCAAACATATACGTAAGTACCACATACTCCTGTGTACCCATTGCCTAGCTGCAACAGTTGTTATTAACTCATGACCAATCATTTTTCATCGATATTCTCTCTTATTTTCCACCTTCCAACACTCAGGATTATACTGAAACAAATCTCCAACAGCTTATCGGTTCTCTCCACATATATTTCAAAGTATCTCTGAAAATAAGTACTCTCTTTTTAAAATATAACCAAAAAATATTGTCTAAGAAATATCTATAATAATTTCTTAGTATCATCAGACATCTAATCAGTCATAAAACATTTTTAATATGCTTAATATATATTAGCCTTAGAGAAAATTTCAAATTCCTGAATGCTGTGAGAGACTGTAATACCCTCCTGTCCCCAACAATATGCACATATCCTGGCATGAGAACCTCTCCTGCAGTGAGCCACTGATGCCATTGTTTTAGAAATAATGACTTTGAAAGAGCTTTAACTATTTCCATCTATTTTTTGAAATGATATTTACACTAACGAAGGCTTCTGTCTAGCCTAGTAGGTTTTTAATTGTACCTACTTTGCCCCCTTGTATTTTGTTATACTGATTCATGCCGCCCACAGTCTATTTCCAATAGTGTTAAGAGTTCCGCAACAAAAACCCTCTGAGAAATGTAAAGAACAGAAGGAATGAGGCAGAAGATATTCCTTAAAGTGGGCTGGTATACTGCATTAAGTACTTGGGCTTCAAAGTGATTAAAAAAAATTTTTGTCTTATGGTGCAACCCTTTGAAGTATTCTATTTAATATGATACAGTGCCACCAAATAGCATTATAATCTTTCTTTTGTGAGTGTTAGGTCTGATGGATTTTTATTTAATAGAGCAGATTTATTTTGTAGGTTCTGTGCATAAAATTAGCATAACATTATTGTGTTGTCATAGTGGTCAAAACAATTCTTTGAACATAAATGTTCATCTGTATTAAATTGTGTTCCTAGGACAGCTTGGAACAAATGTGAGCTATTTGAAAACAAAGAAGAATTCTCAACCTGTTATGGAAATAGAAGAGGAGTCTGCTGAAAAGATTCAATTTCTTAAGAGCAGTGGAACCTCTCTCTTAAGTACTGATAGCTTAGAAACAAATGGTAAGAAATGCAAGGGATATGAGTTGGTCAATTATTAATTGTTATGCTTATATTCAGAATTACAAAAGTTAACTATCTTGAAGCCTCCTTTACTGAAGCATGTAGACAGATTTAGTATCTTCCTAGAGGTTTAGAATTATTCTAGAGAAGCTTTAAACCTTACATATTAATAAGAATTCGTATTTGATGAGTAAGAGAGTAAATATTTGTAAAAAATTTTAAAAATTTACTACATAATGTCAGTAAATGCATCATTCAAATCAATGTTTTCAAAATTCTGTATATTACTAAAATATATCTGTGCTTTCCATTTAGAACTAGTAGTTTCTGAGCTCAACCATAGTATTCTCGGAGTGGGATTGGACACATTAGAAGAACAAGAGGAGAAAGAACAATTTTTTGCCAGGCTTGAGAAGGGCTTGACATCTTCCATTGATTATTCGAGATTAAATAAGGAATTGGATTCTAATGACTCTACACATTTTAAAGCTTTACATAGGTAAAGTACAGTGTAAACTGTTAATGATCTTTATGTTTTCTGTGTTTTTTGGAAGGCTGATATATGCATGATTTTAAATAGGTAAACATTATAACAGGCAAAATTAAATCTTATTTTTTAAATCTGTTATCTGTTCATTTTACAGTTAGGTTTTTTCTTATGTGTGAATAGAATATGTTTCTTTGTATTTGAGAGCCCATGCTGCCTCCAAAGTCTGAAATTTCATGCTATGGAGACTAATAGTACATTGCCAAGAAGTCCTTACTAGGAAAGTAATTTATTAAGTCATTTTCCACAGATAAATAAGAGAGTCCAGGTTACTATTATAAACTCAGGAAAAAATACAACAGAAAGGCAGGTGGGAACCAAGGAGCAAAGACAAGTTTGATCTCTGTCTTAACCTTTGTATGGTTGACCCTGATGGTTATCGGGAAACCTCATTTATTCTAGGAATCCCACTAGTTCACTGAGCTGATCCTCTGTTTATTACACTAGACCATTGCCATTCTCAAGACCTTTGAAACCTGAGGTCTTCAATGCCCTTATTTAGTTATCCATGTGATTCTTAAAATTATGAATGGAAAGCAGATTACAATTTTATTTAGGATTTTGAGATCACAAAGGTATAATTGAGTTCAGGGTCGGGAGAATCATAATCTCTGATTATTGGAGTGCCTAGGCTCTACAGGATGATTAGTTTTTTATAGACAGCGGATAAAGAAATGCGTTTATCGTCATGAACTTTTCAGGGTCTGAGGTTTTTACCCTACTTGGCAAGCTAACAAGCTAGTCTTCCAGTTTTATGATGTTGACAATAGACAGAAGATTCCTGGATCAGAATTAAAGAACAAAGGCAGTACCTGAGTGTCGCATTTGTTTGCATTGGTTCCCCATGCCCTATGAGTATGCTGAGGGCAAGGCAAAGGATCCATAACTGATGTATGCACACACAGTGGGCTGTGTTACAGAAGAGGAACACTGAGCTTGGAAAAATGTATTACTTTTATAAAGTGGAGACAAGCCTGCTCTTTATTTGGTCGGAAATGTTACCGAAATGGCATGGTGAAAAATGATCAGCGTCTTGCACTCTTAGCATATTCAGCAAGAATGTGCAGAGACATTCAGGGCCTATGGTCATTGCCTTTCCCAATGGTGTCAATATAGGTTAAGCATGCCGAGTTTGTGGGCCACAACTTTTTGCCACTTTCCTACATTTTTTAACTTTTTTCTTATTTCTTAACAGTATTCTTAACTATTGATATTTCTGCTCTAGAACAGGCCGGTCAAAGTACAGAATAGCATTGAACATGCAATATTAGGTGTTTGTAGCTCTCATCATTATTACATAGTCTCATAGTTTCTCTTACGATCTCACTAAAGAGGGTTGATAGACTGAAAAGGTAGAACTGATTCCTGGCTTGAGAGAAAGCAGTAAATGAACTAATACATCCAATATAATTAAATCATACTCAAGCTCCTTTGTTCCCTTGCTTAGGTTTTGTTTTAAGGCTCCTATTCAGCTTCCATTTCAGGATTAAATGGCTTATTAGCATGTAAGTGCTGACCTTAGCAATTTTTTTCTGGCTTTCGTATGGACTTCACTGGTTCTCATAGCTTGTGGTCAATTTCTAATCTTTAGTGTAGAAGGGATATCTAGGATCATAAGATAATATTTGGACATGTGAAATGCACATAGTAATAAAATTGTATATATTTAGGAAATAGGGCATCTTTTTCCTTTGTATTACTTTCAAGCTACAATTAATCATATACTTTGAAGATGCTTTATTTTCAAAACATTTTCCTTAAAGCTCCCAAATTTTTAGGTTTTGATAGAACAAGAGGACTTGAGAGAGAACGTGTATAATTTTAGGGATTTTTTTGAAAGGTATACAGAAAGAGTTGCATGAGAATATATTTTTAACATATAATGCTAAATTGAATAAATATTTTTTCCAGTAATCAAGCTAATGTAGAACTAACTGATGACGAACATGAGAATGAATCGAAACATGAAGAACTGGCAGGTAATTTCATTGGTTCTTAAATTTATAATATTTGAAAAGATAATAGCTTTTAATGAAGACATTGATAAGAAAAATAATTAAAAGGAAAATCATATTGTCTTAGAGCTTTGAATAGATAGAGTGGGTTTGCCTGTGTTATAAACTGAGCTGCTAAGAAATTGTTAGAAGTGAACTGCCTCGTTTGTTGAGAGTGGGCAGTGGACCACTTGGGAAGAAAGAAAAAAGGATTTTTGTGCCAGGATTGTGGGTATCTCTGAAGACATGGTAAGACCTGCAAAGCATGTTGATGGAGAGGTGTACCTTTTCCTGCTTTTTGACTTTTAATGCATGTGTGCTTTTATATTAAAATGTTTTTTTCGTAGACTGCATATAGCTGGTTTTAGCATTTTTGTTCAATCTGACAGTCTGTGCCTTTTAACTGATGTGTTTTTACCCTTTACAGGAATGTATTTATTGATATAGTTGTTTACTGTTTTGCCATGTGTTTTCTTTTCATCTTTTTGTTTTTGTTGCTTTTGTCCTCCCTTCTATTGTATTATTTATAGTATTCCATTTTATTCTGCTTTTGGCTTTTTAGCTATAGTTCTTTGTTGTATTTTTTTTTCTTAGTTGCCCTATGAGTCAAAATATATGTCTTTACCTTATTACAGTCTACTTTCAAATAACATTGTATCACTATAGTTATATGAACTCTAAGAACAATAAACTCTCCTCAACCATTTTGCTATTTTTGTCAACGTTTTTCTACATGTCTTAAAAACACCGCATTATTATTTTAAAAAGCGCATTATTATTATTGTTGTTAAAGCAATCAATTATCATTTAAAAGTACTTTTAAGGAATATAAGAAATGGATATTTATGTAAAAATGTGTATTTATCCATATATTTACCATTCCCAGTGCTTTGTATTCCATTGCGTAGATTTGAATTTCTATCTCAAATTATTTTTCTTCATCACGAAGAGCCTCCTTTCACATTTCTTGTAGTGCAGGTTACTGCTAGGAACAAGTTCTCTCAGCTTTTGTTTATCTGAAAATATACTCTGCCTTTGTTTTTGAGGAATGCTTTTACTTGATATAGAATTTTATGTAGTGTTTTCTTTTCCCTTTGGGCGGTTTAATGATTTTATTCTATTGTCTTTTGACCTTATTTCTCATAAGAAGTTTCTGGTAATTCCTGTTATTGTTATTTTGTGTATATAATGTCTTTTTTTCCTCTGTTTTCAAGGTTTTATCCTTGTTTTTTGGCAGTTTGACTGGTGTGTCATGGTATGCTTTTCTTATGTTTATTCTGTTCAGAGTTCGTTGAGCATCATTGATCTATGGATTTATAGTTTCCATCAAAATAAAAAATATTTTGGCCATGAATTCTTAAAATATTAATAATAATGCTGCTTTCCGCTTCCTGCCCTCTGACCCTTATTATGTTAGAGTGCTAAGCTTTGTTTTATGGGTCACTAAGACTGTTCCATTTTTTAAAACCTTTTTTTCTTTCTGTGCTTCACTGTTCACGATAGAACAGTTCCTTTGCTTCAAGTTACTGATCTTTTTCCTTTCTTTAATCTGCTATTAATCCCATCTTTTTTTTTTTTTTTTTTTTGAGACAGAATCTTGCTCTGTCACCCAGGCTGAAGAGCAGTGGTGCGATCTCGGTTCACTGTAAGCTCCGCCTCCCGGGTTCACACCATTCTCCTGCTTCAGCCTCCGGAGTAGCTGGGATACAGGTGCCTGCCACCACACGCAGCTAAATTTTTGTATTTTTAGTAGAGATGGGGTTTCATTGTGTTAACCGGGATGGTCTTGATCTTCTGACCTCGTGATCTGCCCGCCTTGGCCTCCCAAAGTGCTGGGATTACAGGCTTGAGCCACTACGCCTGGCCTAATCCCATCCTTTTTTTTTCTTCACTCTAACAGTTCATTTTGGGTCTTTGTTTTAAAATTCTTTAGTATTTTTCTTCATTATGTTCATTTTTTTCAAGTCCTTAATATTAAGCATATTTTACAGATTTTAGTATTTGTTTGTTTCTGGGTCTCTTTTCTGTTGGCTTTTTTTTCTTCTAGTTTCCTGACACTTTTTCCTGCCTCTTAGAAGTCTAGTAATTTTTTATTGGATATTGGGTATTGTGAATTTTATGTTATTCAGTGTTTGGATTTGATTTTCCTCTTTTAAAGAGTATTATTGAGCTTTGTCTGGTAAGTAGTTGATCCTACCGCTTGATTTCTTTTCAAGGCTTTTCTTATGCTTTGTTAGCGGAAGTCTAGAGTAACTCTAGTAACCTCTAACCCTACTGCTAAAGCACATCCCTTTTGAGGCTTCTATTGGATGCCCCTAGTGATCAATGAGGACTCTCCACTTAAGCAGATTAGAGTTCAAAAGTCTCCCTGTCTTGTATGAACTCTGAGAATTGTCTAACTTACAGCATACCACTTGTTGTTGGCTCATTTTATGCATTAACAGCTTAGTATTCAACAAAGATTCAAGGGCACCCTATGCAGATTTCTGGGGCTTTGTTTTTACTTAGGCACCTCCTCTCTTGATTACTGTCTTATATTTTCTAAATTGCCTCAGCCTTTCTGAACTTATCTCTCTCTCGTCTACTCAGTGAGACTGTCCTGATCTCCCGCCCCTGCTCAGTACTTCAGAATGTATGTGCCTTCAGGTAATTGTAGGGCTAGCTCCCTCCTTTTCTTAGGAATCACATTTTTTTTGCTGCCAGTTTTCTAATATGTGAAAATAGTTGTTTTATATATTGTATTGTTTACAAAGAAAGTACAATCCCTTTAACTCCAACATGGCAGAGGAGAAAGTCCTCTAGATTGGCAAAAAAGTTAAAAATTTGCAGCTAAGTTTGCCAATAAAAGATGAAAAATGTCTTCCGAAAGGATCTTTTACATTGCATATGGTTTATCTGAACTTTAAGAACATTTTTATTTCTGAAAATAACATTTTTGAAGTTATAAGGATAGAGAATCATAGAAACCTAGTAACTTGAATATGTAACATCTTCCTGCGAAAAAGGTCAGAATGGTACAAGTGAATATTCTGATTGTTTTCTGAACAATGTGGAAGAGCCTAGATATTATCTCTGATGTTTCTCATATAAGAATCACCCTCTCAAATTAGTTTCACTCTTTCATTTTTATGTAAACTTAATTTGCCATGATGTTTGTTCCTGAAATCTCTGACATGTACTGTTTTTCTTTTCTTTGTTTCTTATCTCTCATTTCTGTGTCTACCAATGACACTTCCTTCTAACTTCAAATGTACTTTATTCCCGTTTCTGGGGAGGAAGTCAGTCATTCATGTGCTGGATGCTAGTATTTGCCTGTAGGCTGTTTAGTTACTACATGAAAATAATAAAATACAGTTTTGAAGATTGCTTGTTAGATTGGCACTTTTCCCAATCAGAAATAATACTTGGCTGTATAAACTTTTGATTTGGATTAAGTACAAAAGTAGCTATAGTAGGCTGGGTGTGGTGGCTCACGCCTGTTATCCCAGCACTTTGTGAGGCCAAGGCAGGTGGATCACCTGACTTCAGGAGTTTGAGACCAGCCTGGCCAACATGGTGAAACCCTGTCTCTACTAAAAACACAAAAAATTAGCTGGGTGTGATGGCAGGCACCTGTAATCCCAGCTACTCAGGAGGCTGAGGCAGCAGAATCGCTTGGACCCGGGAGGCAGAGGTTGCAGTGAGCAGAGATCATGCCATCGCACTCCAGTCTTGGCAACAAGAGCAAAACTCCGTCTCAAAAAAAAAAAAAAAAAGTAACTATAATAATGTTAAGCAATAATTACTATAAACATTATAGCTAATCATCTCAGCAATCTTTTGAGAAAAGTCCTATTATCCCCAGTTTTACAGATGGAAAAAGTAAAGCAAAGGGAGTTTGTGGGCTGCCAGTGGTTCTGCAGCTGAAAGTAGTGGAACCAGGAATTGAATCTAGGCCTTCTGGCTCCAGGTGATGCTCTTAGCACTATGCCATACTGCCTGAACTGTTTCTAACACTTTCTTTACGCAGTCACACACACCACACCACAGCGCCTCCCATTGGTTCCCGAATCCTAAGCAGCTTGTCCAAGTTCAATGTCATATTTCCCATATCTCCTCTTCCTCGTTCATCATCTTTTCTTAAGCAATTCTAATCTCGCGGGTTACTTAAAATTCGGTGGTTCCCACCTAGACTAAAGTCTGGATCATCTTGTATTGGGTCTCAGCACTTAGAAGTGTGCCTAATACAAAGTAATTACTTTTAACTGTCTTATGATTTTAACTATATGTCTACTGATACTTAAAAATCCCAAGCAGCATTCTTTCTCATGTGGAAGAGAAACAAGGTGAACTTCTCAGCCTCAGAATACAGATACTGACATAGTTAACCAACTAACCTAGTTTATCTACCTGAGTTACAATTATCATGCTGTTCCAGCTCTTAGTTCTTATGAAACTAAAATGTAGATGTTCTGTAGCCGTATCTCACTGGAAGCATCCCTGTTTCACTCCCAAAACCCTCTCAAATTCATTTCTTAACTTCCAGTATTAATTTCAAGTTGTCGTCTTCATCTTCATCTTCATTCTAAGAAAAGAGTAAAAAACAGGCTTTCCAGAAGTAGACTCTAGTACCTTATGTAGTCTTTTTCCCATCAGGCCATCCTGTTTCTCAATGTGATGTAGTTTTTTGAAATACAAATTAGATCATGTTTGTTTCTAAAATGACCAGTTCCACTCTAAAAGGTGTTCCCTTTCATAGCCACAAATCTGAATTAATACTGTGAACAAGTTAAAAATTGAAGAAGACTCATCCTGGTCAAATAATTCCTGTCCAACCTTGCCCGTAAGTAGACTGAATGCCTGAATTAACATGGAGACACCTTTTCCTTCTCCACAAAGTCATTGAGATATAATTTGGAGGCTTTAGATAAGAAGCACTCAGGATTGGGAAACAGCAAAGGTCATATAAGGCCAGTAGTTACCTAAGGAAAGGGTCAGAGATCTTTCATAAGTACTAGTTAAGACTTACAGTAGAGATACCTGTAGAGACAAAAAAAAAAAAAAAAATCAGTCAACCTAAGAAGCAAAATCCAACCTTTTAAAAAGGTGCAAGATTTCACAAAAGTCCTTCCTTTATAAGTAAGCCAATCGGGTTCATGTTTGTCTTTTAAAAATAAATATTAAAGTCTTATTTTAAAGGTAATACAAGATCCTTTGGACAGCTCTAAAAGTTTTTATTTGGTTAATTATATAAAAGACTAAAAATATAAAACTCTAAGAACTATTTGAAAGTACCATAATGACATAAACCAAAGTCTTATAAATTGAATGCTCATTAAATCTTTGCAAAAGAAAAAGTTCTTTTTTTTTTTAAATTGTACTTTAAGTTCTAGGGTACATGTGTGCAACGTGCAGGTTTGTTACATATGTGTACATGTGCCATGTTGGTGTGCTGTGGGGGGGCCCCCTGTCCATATGCGGCTGCCCGGGGAAAGGGGTGGGACGGGAAATGGGGCATTAAGAGGAAATACCTATTGTAAATGACCGACGGTTAATGGGGTACAGC